TCCCAGCGCCAGGCCCGGAACCCCGGCGTCCGGGCTCCGCCAGCCTCCACTCCATGGGGTCGGCGCTCACCTGCGTGTAGACCAGGGGGACGCTGATCCAGTCGTAGTGGAACAACATGCTGCAGTTCGCACGGAACTGATTCAGCTCCTGGAAAGGGGGGGGGGGCATTTCAGAACCAGGGAGGGGGCAGATCCCTGCTGGGGGGGGGGCAGCTTGACAGTCCCCCAGGGACAGACTCAGGGCATCCCCAGGAAATGCCCCCTGCCCAGCACAGAGCCCCCACCACTGCCAAGGTGTCTCCCCTCACTGGGGTCCCCTCTAGAGCTTGGGGGGGCTCAGTCGCCCCCATCAGCCCCCAGTTAGTGCTGATAGGACGCAGCCGGCTGGGAACTGAGCAGAGACCCAGCAAACTCATCACCTGGCAGATGAGGCACCGGATTTGCCAGCCACCACCAGGGGCTGGATTCAAACCAGCTGGGAGAAGAGGTAGAACCCAGGCATCCGGGCCTTCTACCCCCCAACCCCGAGCTGGGCACAGAACCCAGGCGTCCCCAGTCAGACACTCTCCCCCTGCCCCCCCCCCCCCCCGGGTTTCCACCCACCTCCATCAGCATCTTGAGGGCACAGTTGTCCCGGACGCGCCCCTCCTTGCGAGCCTGGGCCGCCAGGTTGGTGAACCAGACGCAGGGGATCCAGTACTTGTTGTAGGACGAGCTCAGGTTCTCGTATTTCTTCCGCTCCTCCCGGGTCATGAAGCCTGCGGGCGAGGGGAAGGGGTCACCCAGCCGCCCCCCCAGCCCGGGCCGGGGACCAAACCTGCGGCCCGCAGCCCCTCCAGCCCCCACTACAGGGACTCACACGTCTCCGTGGGGTCTGGCCACCAGGGGGAGCAGGAGAGGCACATGGGGTTCACCTCGAGCATGAGGAACCAGGACCCCAGTGCGGGGGCGGGAGGGGGGCATTGTTACCACCCGCCCCTCCCCCCTCTAGACACCCCTTTCATCAGCCCCCCGGACAGTCCCACCCCCCACCCCGCTTTAAACAGCCTCTACACTGGGACCCCTCACCCAGCACTGAGATGCAGCCGCCTCTGGGG